TAGGGCTTGTCGCGCATGTATGTGATATCCTCGACGGTAGTTGGCATCTGGTCCTTGGTAAGATGTATGTGTGGATCGAATGGGATGGAAAGGGGTTTGATATCTGCAAATCCATATCGAGATAGGATCGCGTCAATATATGCTCTTTGGGATAAGTGAATGGACCGTGTATGTAGAGATCGGCGGATCTCAATCCCTAGTAACCAGTGAATCTCTCCAGAATCGACAACTTCGATCTGGTCCCTGATCTTCTTCTTTAGAGTGTCCATTACAGCCATGGTCTTGGTAAGCATAGTCATATCATCGACGTGGATGAATATGATACAAAAAGGGTCAGTTCGATAGAATACGGCATGATCGAAATTTGACCTGGTGAGACCGACTGATGTCATGATCTCCCTGAATCTCATGTACCAACGGCGACCAGCTTGTTTAAGTCCATAGAGGGCGAGCTTGAGTTTAAGCACTTGTCCTGCTTTAACTTCAATGTCGACACCTGGTGGTGCCTTCATGTAGATTTGTTCATTGTCGTCCAGTTTACCATATAGATATGCCGATTTGACATCCATCTGGTGAATGAACATGTTCTGTTCGGCTCCTGTGCTGAGGATGGCTCGAGCTGCTGCTAGCTTTGTGACTGATGCGAACGTTTCATCTGGGAAGTAGTCAACGTCTGGTATCTGGTTAAAACCTCGTACCACTAGTCTGGCTCTGTGGCCTGTGACTTTTCCTTGTTCGTCTCGCTTGGTCCTGAATACCCATTTCGATGTGAGGATGTTGGCATTATCAGGTGGAATGACAATATCATATGTTCCGCGCTGTTGTAATCTCCGGATTTCCTCATTCATGGCTTCCCGCCATTGAGACCAATCGGGACGTCGCATTGCTTCTGCAACTGATGTGGGGTCAGCGATGATTTCACCTGTTACTTGACCAAGTGATGCTGTAAGATGCCTGAGCTCTCGGTTTGGCTCTCCAAGTCCATTGATGATGTCCTGGATTTTCTTGGTCGGCTTCCTGACACGTTTTCCTGTGATTATATCTGGGTTGATGGGTTCGGCAATTTCCTCCGGTACTGGTATGATAGGCTGTTCCGACTCGGTGATCGATGTTTCCAGATTTCCCAAATCCTGATCCTCCCCCTCAACGGGTTGGATCTGCCTATCAGAGAATTGCACATTACGTTCAGTTGAGACTGTGTGGCGATCTGGCCAATAGATGAAGTAACCATTGGACTCTGGCTCAATGCCTACCCATCGTCCTTCCTGTGCTTGAGGGTCAAGCTTCCCAGGCTCCTTTTCACGTTTAACATAGACCGTGCTTCCAAAGATGTGGAAGTTGGAGATGTCGGGAATTGTGCCAAATCGTTTTTCCCATGGAGAAATCATACCATTTGCCTTCTTTGGTGTCCTGTTCCATACATATACTGTGTAGCCCATCATGAATCCCCAAAGCCATTTCGGTAATCCAGATGATATCATGAGGCTGCGTACTCCATTGAGTAGCGTCCTGTGGCTGCGTTCCGCACTAAGAAATTCTCCCCCTCGATCAGAATGGAGTTTCTTGACCGTTACGCCATATTGAGTTTGGAGACCGGTTTGGAGTATTACGTATTGAGCGAAAGCCTCATCTTTGCCCTTCATTAATGGTTCCTCCAACCAACTGGTGGCTTCGTCGATGACTGTCAATGCGTAGACGTAATGATTTAGCGTCTGCACAGAAGCTGGTCCCCATACATCCATGTGAAATACATCACCGAATTTCTCCGCTCTCGGGGATGTTCGAATTTTGGAGATTGGAGATCTGGCAGCTTTAGCAAGCATGCAAGTCCGGCATTCGGGTTCTTCCATCTGCTTAGGATCTAACTTGATCCCGTGAACCTGGTTTGATTTGAACATATGCTTGACATAAGCATAGTTCTGGTGGCCAGCGATGCAGTGTGCTTCATAAAGCGAAACCATCCTGGTCGCCTTCCCGGCATAGGCATATTCTGTGCTCGGAATCTGGTAGAGACCATTTGTCTTGGGAACGATTCCAATCGTCTCCCCCTGTCTATTGATGATCTTAAGAGTTCCATCTTTAATTACCATCACATATCCTGCATCGTCGAGTTTACCCAATGATACAAGTGTGTTAGGTGTGTTGGGGCATAGGAGAGTGTTTTGGAGTGTAAGCGATTTCGAAATTCCTTCCTCGTTGATTGGAAGATCGATCTGAAGATTTCCGGCAGTGTTGGATGTGAAGGTCTCTGCGTTAGCTGCCTGGATAATTCGGGTAGGGACACTCCGCGTGTTGCGAAGTTTGTCCTGAAGTGGAGTCATGTGGGATGAGCATCCTGAGTCAAACAGAATTGCTCCGCTGCTGTGAGATGCTACGAAAGCTGTCTCGTAACTACTAGCAATTTCGGAGAAATTAAATATTTCCTGTGACGTAGTTGTGGTAACTTCCACGGCTGCCCACGATGACTCGGGTACTTCCTCAATGGTGGCTGAGGATCCCACTTCTTTATTCTTTGATCTCCAACTATTACTGCTGCTTCCAGACGGTTGGGTTTTCTCCTTCTTCTGAGAACTGTCTTGGGCTTCGTTGGCCTGTTGTCGCTTCGGTGAACTGCATTTATTAGCGAAATGCCCTTTTCCACCGCAATTGTAGCACGTGGAATTGTTCGAGTTTGGTCGATTTTGACCTCCTCCTCTATTACCATTTCCTCTGCCCCTGGACTGGCCTCTGAAGTTTCCACGATTTCGGTTAAATCCACCCCTGCCGCGGTTGGAATTTCCACCGGCATAGTTTGCAGATTCCTTCTTTCCAGACTGTCCTCGGGTATGACCAGATGCTTCAGCACGTATCGTCGAAACTAGCTCCCTTGTGGTCAGCGGGACTGAAGTCCTTGCTGCAACCACTACCAATGCGTTAATCGTTGGTTTGAATATGTTTGGGATGGAAGCAATGATCGTGTTATTGAACATTTCCTCGGGAATGGTGATTTTCCGCGCCTCCAAACTGTCCCTGATTTCCAACAATTTATCCAAATGCTCATTAACCTTTGATGGTTCATGGCAGTGCATGGAATGAAGCTGTTGTTGTAAGTGCGCTTCAGTGAGAGCACTTTTCGAATCAAAATCACTCAGCAGATTTTTCCATAGATCAAACACGTTTTCGTAATTCTTGTATCGCCTATAGATCTGGTCTGATAGGCGGCCCACAATGGCATTTAATAAATTTCCATCGTCGTCTTTCTTGGCTTCCCATGCTTCAGTGTTATCTTTTGGATTAGATGTGAGGTGATCTGAAAATCCAATTGATCGGGTGGCTAGCTCCACTCGATTCTTCCACGTGTCCCAGTTAGATCCATCACTTTTAAGCGTAGATACCTTGTCAAAGGCTTTGAATACTTTAGACATATTGTCGTCGTCGTCGTCACTTTCTGGATCTGATACTTCTGCTCCTGGATCTGGGTCTTCCGGATCTGGTGGAGGTGGTGAAGATCTTGGTAGTGAAGATATTGGTGATGAGGGTCGGTCTAGTACTGGGCTAGGTGGTGGTGGGAATACAGGATATTCTGGTTCTGGAGCTGGTGCTGCTTCTGGCGTACCCTCTGGTTTCTGGGATGATGATGATGCGACCTGCTCTGGGGGTGCTCCTCGTCCAAGTATAAGGTCTTCTTGCTTTCTGTCGATAAGTCTAGCAAAGCTGGGGATATAACCAGTTGTTATTTTGTCGTATCTATTCGGGCAAGGTTGATCTTTGCAAACTCTGTATTTGCTGCCGTCGGGATCGTGATACCGATCCTTGACGTCGTCTTTATCGAAGATATGCTCCCTATGAGCACAAGCTGCAGTTGGCTTGGTTGGACGGTTATCGGCTTTGCGAGGAGGGTTAGTCCTTAATGACATAAATCAATGTATGCACCGTATTTCTTGTTTATTTAGGTTAGGGCGGGGCCCATAACCTGTTAGAATATAGTCACGTTATATTCAGCAGCAATGGCAGTAAGAGATAGAGTGCACACAGCACTGTAGTTGATCACACAGATCAGACGATGAAGGAGTAGAGAGAACTGCTTATTCGACAAGACGAATACTACAGGTTTATATACAAGTCCAAGGTAGACGATGTCATGTTACAGCTAAACATAGCGAGAGAGAAAGGAAGTACAATACGATGTATCCTACTGGTAGTCCTATAGTAATAGTACACGATGGTGGGATTGATAACACGGCGGTGAGACTGATAACACGATAGTGAGATAGTGGTTTGTAACAAGAGAACAATGTTCCATAGATGGTATGTGAGTCATCAAATGTTAACAGTAAACGTACCGCTTACTTACATGCATACAGTCACATTTGTGACATCACACTATATAGGCTTTCTGTCCACTTAGATACGAGTAGAGCTCTTACCACCATCTCCTCTTAGGTCCTAGACTACTCTCGAGTGTATATCTCCTTCTCTTTTCCTCTCTTCACCAATCATATTTGGTTCATAGTACTTGGCCCTTGTGTGAGTTCCATCTTAGTGTTCCCGCCATCACGGCGGGTTTCCAACCACAGGTGATACTTGTCCCGTGGGTTCAGTGACCAAGCGGAATAGCGACATCCGTCTGGTATCATCAGGGAGCTTGGTAGAATAGCATGTCCAAGAATGACATGTGGTGGTCTCCTAGTATGAATCTTGCGCATGAAAAGGTATCCGGTGACAGAATGTGCACTAGTTGAAATGAGGAATGAGATACAGCATAGGATCTTTTGACAAATTGCCTGGTATCGGTGATGAGAACGAGTTAGAATAAGTTCTTCGCAATGTCTGTTTTCTGCAACGATCAATGTCATCCCGACATGCGGTTGAATGCAAAAGGATAACCTCATGTTGGCTGGCATTCGCACAGGGAGGGCATTCATGCCCGCCTACGTGCGCCGGACCGTGAGACTGTTTTGCTACGTTTGTTCACCCACATCCATCTTCGAAGTTCTTCGGTAAGGTTTGACCTGAGTTGACGGGTGATATATAATTATAAGCTGGTGAATATCTGCTTGTCTTTCCTTTGCTCTTTGGATTCGCTCACTTTTATAATATCTAGGCTACCCCTGATCTCAATCTATCAGCGTCGCAGTAACTTTGCAGCCGGATATTCTCTTACTATCCGTCAACAATGCTCCAAAGCCCAACAACTTCAAGCTGGACGCGGGTATCACCTTTGGAGGTGCTGATAACTCGTGCTTGTGATCCATCATTGCATGAACCAAATTATGCAGCCCACATTGAAGTGGCAGAGTACATCAATAACAAGAAAGCCAATACGTGCGTATCCAATTATTTGCTAACGGCCTTAACTGATTAACACTCCGATTGTAGTCCTCGAGAAGCAGCGATGACCATCGCACGTTTAGCCAACAACAGGAACCCTCACATCTCTATGCTCGCTCTTTCTTTGCTAGATACCTTGGTGCAGTCATGCGGATACCCTTTTCATCTCCAAATATCCACGAAGGAGTTCCTCAACGAACTCGTACGCCGATTTCCTGAGCGTCCTCCTCCTTATCCGAATGCTATCATGTCACGGATCCTCGAGCTTATAAACACTTGGAAGGAGGGAATCTGTGTAGACAGCAGGTGGAAGGAAGACTTGAGTAATATAAGGGATATGCATCGGCTGTTGACTTTCAAAGGATATCGATTTCGAGATTTTGCTAGGCCGAGTCAGTCACAGCCGACTGCTGCGAACGCGAATCTCAAGTCGGCGGTCGAACTAGAGGAGGAAGATCGTGCAGCACAATCTGCGAAACTGCAAGAACTTATCAGGCGAGGAACACCCCGGGATCTCGCTGCTGCACAAGAGCTCATGAAATCTCTTGCTGGTGCCGACCCTGAAGCCAAACCGGATTATAAAACGCAAGCGTTGCATGAGATCAACAAGCTGGAATCCAAGGTCGTTTTGATGAATGAGATGCTCGATAACGTCGATATGGAAAGAGGCGAAAAGTTTGTTGAAGGTGATGCGTACGATCAGGTTGCGGAGATCTTGAGAGCTGCGAGGCCGAAATTGCAAAAATGGGCGAGCGAAGTGGATGTAGAAAGTCATGATTCCGAATCATTAGGTGGATGGTACCTTATATATCTTTGTAAGGCTATGTTTCTCATCGTCACTATCACAGATACGTTCCTACAAATGAACGACCAAATCAACACCGTTCTCAACCGTTATGAGGCGTTCAAAAAGGGCGATTACAGCTTCGCGGCAAACCCTATCCCCGCTGAACTATCCAATGCCGGTTCTGCTTCCGCTGGTACAGGACTATCTCTGATTGATTTCGATGACTCGACAAACGGTACCTCCGCAACTATATCAACACCTACAAACACCACCACGGCAACATCAAACAGTGGCGGCGACCTCATGGGTCTCTTTGGTGCCCCCGCCCCGGCTGCAACCAGACCCTCCCCTTTATCGAGTCTATCGAGTCTATCCCATCCTATGTCAAACGCAATGCCAGTGATGGAATCAAGGATAGGACTTGGACTACCAGGGATGCATGTCGGAACCCCGACACCTCCGATACCTTCGACATTTACACCTCCGAATTATAGTTCCCCCAGTTCTGCTCCTGTTGTTGCTTCGACTCCGCCGATTGGTGTGATGCATGGGACGGGCGGGGCAGGTATGGGCATGGGCATGAACAGTGCATTAGGATATGGTTCTCCCTTCGGCCCAAGCGGGAATGTCGGTCCACGGAATTCTTCCCCAGCTCCTGCGGCGCCGCATACGCCGAATTACTTCTCAGGTCCCGCAGGTAGTGGTACTGTGGGCGTAAATATGGGTATGGGCATGGGTGTAGCAAGGATAGGTACCCCTTCGACTCCTCAAACAATGCAACCCATGAACGCGATGGGTTCAATGCAGTCGTCTCAATCATCCCAGCTAATGCAAACTCAACTACCCGCCCAAAATGGCTCTTCAATGTCATCACAACCTCCTGCGACACAGGCGAAAGATCCGTTTGCGGATTTAGCGGGGCTGTTTTAGGTGAATGCGTGGACAGGTTGAGTAATGTCTTGTGAAAGGTAAATACTGACTGATACGACACCCTGGGATCGTTAAGCTATTGGAGTTTGGAGTACGGGTACGGAGGAGGATGGCCACGGAATAGGTCATTTGGGTCCTCGTAATATTGGGTTCCGTACCGCGTAAGCTCAAGAATAAGGAAAGGAAATTACGGCGCAATATTCGTACTATATATCTACGTGCTCTGGTACATTTTCACTTGTTCGTCATTGGAGAAATGAGCGAGCTTTTACAAACGTTCACTCATGTTGACAGTAATATGTCATGAAGGCGGGAGGTTAGAGCCGTTTGTCCATCTCTGTATGATCGGCCACGATTCCTGTATGAACTCGAGATTTGGGGTTCTAAAGGAAATTGAAGATATTCTGCCTCTTTTTCTAGATCTCTTTCAGATACTAATATGGAATGCCTCAAGAAAGATCGATGCAATATTCCATCCACGCCGCATTGACGTTGGAATTCCATACTACTCACAAAGACTTCATGTTCGGTGTCGGATAGGAGACAGTTCAGGGAAGTTTGTTCATTTCTAGGATAGACCTGCGGTCTTTCCAAGGTCATACAGCCCAGAACACCAACCCCTCTTTTGGCCAGGTCTGGGGATTCCAAATATTCAATGGATGCTCCAACGTTGTTCCCCGTGTTCCGTACGTTTTCACGCGAAGTGTTAACTTCAACTGGGATGAGCAGACTTGACTTCCCTGCAAATTTCCCGAAGATCCAGCCAGGCACAGTTCTCTTTGTCGCTGTTCCTGCAGGTAGTAATCAGGATGATGATAGAAAATATCTGTTACCATGGGGAGAAGCCACTATCAACATGGTCATTCTTGATCAACAGGCACGGCGGCCTCGCAAGGTGCAGATTAAAAGTGCGTCGGAAAAAAAATTAGATTCTTCCCCTTCCTCCAAACTGTTATAAAATCTATATCATGTTCCACACCGACATGCAGTCTCTCGTTACTTTCGTCGTTCTTGCGACTACGTTTTCGTTTTCTAGTACGTTTGCTTCACCAACGAGAACAGGAACAGCCAAGCGTTCCACCTGTACTGTTAACAGCGTGTCAAGCGCCTCAGATCTTTCCGCTTGCACCAGTGTCGTCATCACTGCCTTTGAGGTTCCTGCTGGAGGTAAGTCTCTGAGCCCCTACCAATGGAATGTCGCTAACAAGTCTATCTGGTTTGTAGATACTGTTACCATCTCGGTTTGTCGAAGCCAGAATATTCAATGTGTGTATCGTATTAACAAGAAACGTCGGTGCACAGGCAGCGTCGGGTGCTGTGAGTATTATCAGGTTACATAGCTTTTTGAGCCCTTCCTAATACGTCGATGGCAGTCTATCGAGATGACAGGTTCCGTTTCCTTCGCATACACCTCTGCTACCGGTCCTCTTTGGACTTTCGATACTGACGTACGCTGTTTTCTTCCCTTCATATCTGCCTTTAACTCAGTTCGCATTAAGGATGTTACCTTCACCGGCAAAGGATACAGCTTCAAAGGCAATGGCGATCGTGTGTATCGATAGTTTAGAAGCACAAACATGGCTAATTAGATGGCTCATAGTCTACTGGGATGGAGAGGGCACTGGCGGCGGTGTTGCCAAGCCTCATCCATTCGTCAAGTAAGTTCGCTTGCGCCAGTTATGAGACGAAACTCACGCGGTATGAAAAATACCAGATTCAAGGGTTATGGATCGTTCACCGACTTCATCATTAAGGATTCACCCGCACAAGCCATCTCTGTCGGTATGTCACACACATGAGTCGTAGCTGACTGCTTGACGGTTCATTCCTACTGCAGGTACAACCGGAACCTCTTCCTTCACTGATATTCTTGTTGACAATCTGGATGGCGCTGAGCTAGGTCACAACACCGATGGGTTCGACGTCTCCGCTAGCGATGTAAGAGGCATTATTCTTGGGGAGTCACAAACTGAGAATAATTTCAGGTCACCTTCAGCGGAAATAAAGTATACAACCAAGACGATTGGTGAGTGACTTACTTCGTTATGAAAGAAATTTTCGCTAATGCTTTCCACTAACCGTCAGCATTGCTATAAATTCCGGTAGCAACATTGTCTTTGAGAATAATTACTGCTCTGGTGGACATGGTATCTCCATCGGTTCCATCGCTTCCGACAAGACTGTGTCTGCAGTGACTATTTCTGGAAACACCGTGGTCGAGAGCATGTGAGTTAATTTTGTGTGTGTCCAATCACGAACCCTGTTATACTTTTTTAAACCCGGTCTGCAGGTACGGAATGCGGATTAAGGTCGACAGTGATGCCACAGACGCTTCTGTATCGGATATCACTTATTCTGGCAATACAATCTCCGCCAATGACAAATACGGACTCCTCATTAGTCAAAGTTACTCTGAGGATTGTACGTGCCTGGCAGTATTTCTCTCGTTTGCGCTCTTCACTGATACGACACCCGACAGTTGGAACTCCTGGCACCGGCAGTATCATCTCGTACGCCTTGAATTAGTTGAGAATGAAATTCTAAACTGACTGATTATCAGCGACATCAACTTTACTGGCAGCAAGACTACAGTGACTACGAGCGGCGACTATCCACGAGTTGGTGAGCTAACTATGATGTTCTTCATTCGACCCACTGCTCAAGCTCTTTCGTCGTGTCCATGCACTTAGGCGTTGACTGTGGTAAATGTACTGGAACCTGGAATTGGTCTGAGCTCGTCGCAAGTGGAGGTGACTCTTCCGACATTGTTCTCGCTGGTGGAGCTAAGGTACGTCCTTCGAGAATGAGCTTGTATGATCACGACATGATATTTTCTGTCCTTACGCAGATTTCAGGGGGAAGTTATTAATACTGCCTCGTGTACACGTACGTCTTATTCTGATATATGAAATATTTGTTTATCTTCAACCTTGGAACTCCCCTAGCCGGTGCCAGTGAATGCCAGGTGACTGAATGTTCGAACGCGTTTGGACGTTGAATAACGTAGATTTCAAAAATCAATTGAAACTCCAAGTGAAAACTGGAACGATTACACTGATACACTGATACAGATACATCGATATCGATAGGTAGGCCATAGGTAGGGTACATACATAATGGATACATGCAATATGATACAGTACAAAATACGAAATACAAAATACGAAAACAAGTCATTCAGACTGTCCACACTGTCCAAATTTACGCAGAGTTGTTCGTCCGTTTCGTGCTTGTGACCATTTATCTGTTCGTCTATACCAAAAGACCTAGAACACGCGGACGTCGCCAATCCAAAGACGAAGAAGAATCCGGACCCAAGATCAACGTACGCGTTGGTGTTGCGTTTTTTTTCGCAGAACCCCAACAAATAGGTTGTTTGTCCCCGACGGTAGGGTACCGTAACTAATTCTCAAACTATTACTTACATTTGTTTCTAACATTGAAGTTCTGAATCCATTAGTTACACGCGTAAGTAACAGTAACTAATTAGTGTAAGAAACAGTGTAACTAATATGATGTTACTATTTGTAACTTGAAGAATTCAAGTAACTAAGTGTAACTTATATTCCAAGGCTTTCCCAGTTGACTGGCACATCCCTTCGGTTCACCTCTTCACTGATCAGTAGTTGAGAAGAACCGGAGGCCATGGCTGACTCTGGGGTATCACAGAGAGTCTGCAACTCATCTGATATCATTGCCAGCAAAGCAGGAGATGCGAGGTTGATCTCATTTTCTTCGACAACACAAAGCAGATGGAATGACTCGCTTTTTTTCGGCCTCGCTTCTTGGGCATCTGAGCCTCCTTCTCTACTTTGGACTGTTCATCTTCATCCTCTTCGTTATCCTCGCTCTTGTCAGAACTGTCACCAAGATTTGTGTGGGATGAGGCTCTATGAGGTTCGAACTGAAGCTTCTTCAAGTAAGTCTTGTCAAGATTGGAAAACTTAACCACAGGATGTTTTCAAGGTGTTGCTTAGTTACAATTAGTTACACTGAAAATCCTACACCCTTAACATGACATGTAAGTAACATGTTAGTAACATGAATTAGTTACTTTTGTAACTTGAATTTGAATAAGTTACGGAACCCTACCCGACGGGTGTACAAATTACTTAGTCATCAAATAGCTTGGCTCAGTCAACAAGTAGTTTCGGCCATTCCTAATTTCGCTCTCAAATTCTTCCCTGGATACACCGATGCCTCAGGCGGTGGTAATGGTGGGAACTTTGGAATCCCCATCTCCACCCATCTCTTCCTCTTCCCTTCCCCTTCCTCCTCTCGTTCCCCTCCCTCCTTCGCATAACTCACACCCAACGCCCTCGCCTGCGCCCCAACCTCCCATCCAAATAACCAATCCCTCCTAACCGCACTCGCCCAAAAAATCGGGTTCTCCTCAGTGTCTCCTAACGCCATAAGCCCATCCCGGGCCTCCTGTGCAGGTCCGTCGTGCAGATGCAGCCATTCTTGGAGGATCTGGGTGTTGGAGGTTATGTAGGATGCGCGAGGGGCGCGGAGGGATTGGTAGAGGTGAAGGGCGGAGGGTATACAGGAGGGGGAAGAGCCAGCAGAGGGCTCGGAGAGATAATACGATAAAGCATACCGTAACGCCGCAGCGTCTTCCATAACCTGTGCCGCGCCCTGTGCGAGATACGGCATCATCGGATGCGCTGCGTCCCCCAACACCCCCACTCTCCCACTCTCATCCACCCACCTCCCCAGTGGTTCCTCCAATTCCCCCAACTTCCACTTAACACACTCCCCTGCCACACCGCATAATCGGTGCACAGCGGGACACCACCCCGTGAATCGCTCGATTAACCCAGTGTTATCGGTGGATTTTCCCCAGTCAACATCTCCGAGAGGGGAACCGAGATCCGTACGGTGCGTCACGTCGATGATGATGTTGTAGAGTTCTCCACCTCGGAGTGGGTACCCCACCACGTGTGCCTCCGGACCCATCCAATGTGTTGCCCACCGCTCCGTGACGAGTCCCCGGATCCCGGGGTCGGGGTCTTGGAGTAATGCTGATCCAGGGACTAGGATCCTATACGCCACGTCCCCTGTGTCTACAGGAACTATCGGACTCCCGTTTATAGCATCCCGCGCGAGGGATTTGATCCCGTCGGCGGAGATGATTAGGTCTCCGGTGTACTCCTCCCCATTGGCGGTGAGGACGCCGGGTTTGTGAAAGTCGTATGAGATAACACGGGTGGAGGTGTGGATGGTTATGTTGGAACTATACAATTCCTCTGCAGTTCTCCGGAGACCCTCGACTAGATCCGCGCGGTGCACGAAGTGGTATGGGGCGCCGTAGCGTGCCTCCATACCCTCTCCTTCCCCATTCTCCTTCCCCCCAAAAGCAACCTCACACAACACCTTCCCGTCGTTCCAGCGCACGAACCGGTTCCCTCTCGAGACGTCCTTTTTGATGAGGGTAAAGTCGACACCCCAGTGGGTGGCGAGTTTGTATGCGTTGGGGGGGATGCGGATGCCTGCGCCGACCTGTGGGAGTATGGTAGGTGAATGGGTTGAGATGAGAGGGATTAGAGATCAAGTCGTTTCTATCAACCGTGGGAACAGCGTACGTACCTCCGCAAACTCCTTAATAGCATCCAACACCGTCACTCGATGTCCGTCCCCTGCGAGCGCAAGCGCGGTGGATAACCCGCCGATTCCTGCGCCTACGACGATGACGTCCAGGGTTTTCATTTCTTGGTATGTCGGCAGTTCCAATGTCACCCAGTGCTTTTTATTAATATATATATAACGCACACCCTGAGAGTCGGAGTCGCGTCTACCACGAATAGAGACACTGTGTGAAACACCCCCACCCCCAGCCTACCCCACCCGGCTCTCCGCACTTCCCCAAGATCCCATAGCACATAGCAGTTTCAAATTGACTTGAAAAACATTGGATTGCCTGGAATCATGAATCATGATGTATAATACAAGTACTTGGGGTGGCTCGTGATATAGGCAGAAGTACTTTAGCGCTAAACACTTGGACTTTGTTTCTGCGATACCAATTGAACCAGTCTTATCATCAGTCATATTTTTTTGATATCGCAGAAATTCCGAAAGAATCCTTTATTTCCCAAGTCCCATAAATAGCTCTCCAAGTGCTCCCACCCACCCACCAAACCGCGCGCAATAAAATGATATTTTTTTTAAAAAAATCACTTGAGCCAAACTACGAGAAAATAATCAAGTATCACTTGGTATTGTACCCTCTACGGTAGTACGGTAGGTGGATACGCCTAGCAAGCTTGGTTTTTTCAATTCAAGTTGTCCGTTTTTTTTTTTGCCGTTACTCCGGCCACTCCCACGTTTAATTCGCTCTTCACTTGACCATTCACCGTCGTCCTCATTTTTGCGCCATTGAACAGGAATATGCATAGGAACAGGAATATGCATAGGAACAGGAATATGCATAGGAACAGGAATATGCATAGGAACAGGAATATACATAGGAGCAGTGGGAGCAGTAGCAATTGGTAGGGGACCGAGAACAAGGCTAAGATCTTGCAGTGAAAGATCATGGTCAATGCTTATATATATAAGCCATTCCTCTTGTTTGAAGTGACAAGCCCATCCTGTATATGTCCTGTATATGTGCTGGATTTTGTTCACCAACTTCCAGTGTTTGGACTCTGTGTCATTCTGTGTCATTCTCTTCTACCCAGGGGGAGACACAACGGTGACATGCTGAAATTCGAGAGATCCCAAAAACCGTTGGGGTTTGTTTGGCATTACCTTCTCGTGCCGCACAGCCCCACAGCCGAGACATGCCGTAGCATGCTAGTTATGTATCTGATCTATCGTGTCCTCACCAGGTTCTCACTGCATCCGATTTTACGGCCTTGATGCATGTATAGCATAGATATGCGATGATGCTTCGTGGCTTCCATCTGCTCTTACTCTTGATGCTCTGTATCTTTCTGTTTTTGCAACTATGCCCCCCTCCAGATATAGAGCTCGGAGATCATTTCGTCCAAAGTTCATTTACATATTTGAAATAGGAAACCTGCAATTTACTGCACTGTGGCACTCCAATGAGAGTATCAGACATTCTGCACAAATTCGCAATAGTGAATCAAGCACCATAATAGGATCCGGCATCGTTCGGCTAAGCGGCTGTACGGCACTAGAAGGCAATGCCAAACAAACCCCAACGGTTTTTGGGATCTCTCGAATTTCAGCATGTGTCTCCCCCTGCTTCTACCCGACCTTTTCCTCTAATGCTTTTTTTTTTACCCTTGCCATCACAATGCCAAGCAGCTTGTCCCACCCAGCCTTGTCCCACCCAATATGAACTAATGTGAATCATCTTTGGTGAATAAACATAGGACTCCCATGATCCCCCAACATTTGCTGGTCTCAGACTCTACAACTTGGGACAGCTTAGGACTATTGCCATTTGTACTTGCGCTTCACTTCCCCTACTTATATCAGTTTTTTGCATCTCCGACGAAACTGAGCAACGAGCCTTCAGGCCTTCGGCAGAGAGTTGGTAAATGTTTTTGGGGTATACATATATTACATATGACACTACTTGGTGCTACGAAAAGCTCCTTTTGTGTTCCGACGAAGCTCGAAATGACTCATGACTATGGTAGTAAACGGCCTCGTGATCTAATCAGTAAGTTCCACCTGAAATCTGGAAAGAAGATTGAGAATTGTCGACAAAGAGAAAACGGTAAAGCACATACGACGACGCCACCACCGAGAACAAGGTCAGAGGATTCGCCACCAGTTGCGTCAATCTCAGCCCAGTTCCAAGTACCGGTGCATTTACCACAGTCAACCCCTAAGCAGTAATTAATTGATACTGAACAAATCTATCGTAGGTGCGAGGGTCACTTACCGACACGAGGGTAATTGCCACTTGTAGTGACCGTGGTCTTGCTTCCAGTGAAGTTGATGTCACTATAACAAATGCAATACATGGTCAGTGTGACAAATATTTGAAGGTTGTCAGAAAAATGCATACGAGATTGTGCTGCCAGTTCCAGGTGTTCCAACTATACGTGGTCATATTAGTAGGTAGCATAGCACAAGAGAGTAAGAGCGCGCATACAGTCCTCAGAGTAACTCTGGCTGATGAGGAATCCGTACTTGTCGTTGGCAGAGATTGTGTTTCCGGAATAGGTAACATCTGATACGGAGGCATCCGTGGCATCACTGTCGACCTTAATTCTCATTCCGTACCTATACAAGTGGAAAATTGAGTCAATGGGTACACACTATGAGGGTGATCATCTCACATGCTCTCAGTAACGGTGTTTCCAGAAATCGTCACTCCGGAGACGGTCTTGCCGGTGGCGATAGAACCAATGGAGATACCATGTCCCCCAGAGCAGAAGTTGTTCTCGAAAACAATGTTGCTACCAGAGTTGATAGCGACACTAAGGGAAGTTATCAGCAATGATACTGTTTCAGGAGTTTTGACTTCAATTCACCAATCGTCTTGGTTATAAACGGTATTTCCGCTGAAAGTGACCTACATAGAAAGATGTGCGTCAATATCACCATTCTTTTCTTAGTGATTGTGGGACTTACATCACTAGCAGAGACGTCAAATCCATCGGTGTTCGCTCCTAAAGAAGCGCCATCCAAATTGTCGACAAGGATGTTGGTGAATGAGGAGGTACCGGTTGTTCCTGTGTATCGTTTTAGCTGCTCACGTCTTGGAGGTCGGAAAAGGAACAGGACTTACCGACGGAAATAGCATGTGCAGGAGAATCCTTAATGATCAAGTCGGTGAACGATCCAGAACCCTCGAATCTATTATTTCGAGTCAGCATCATCGTTGTACTAGTCTCCGAACCGGAGCACGAAAGGAAAATGAGAACGTACTTAATGAGTGGGTGAGGTTTGGTGGTGCCGCCGCTGGTTCCCTCTCCATCCCAGTAAACTACAAGGTATAATTCAAATCGAGTCCGTATGGAGCAAATGAAAGAAGACGCACGCTCGCCATTGCCTTTGAAGCTGAAGCCGTTGCCAGTAAACGTAGCATCCTAGGAAATAGAAACTTTGAGTAATTTAATGGGCGGATGGCAATATTGAGCTTACTGTAGTATCGAAAGTCCAGAGAGGACCCGAAGTGGACGTGAATGCGAATTCGACAGAGCCCGTCATCTCAATTGACTATGATAATGATATGAGAAATATCTCGATAATTCATGATCCGGGTAAAGACTCACAGCACCAGAAGCGGCCTACCCAATTGGAAAACCAGTTTTAGCTTCTCCGCGTGGTCTTCGTGGAATAGATTATGCATACCTTGATAGTAACAGTGTCTGTAACCCGATGCATTTTTAGTGACGTCCATATTCTGTGATCGCAGAAGATAACGTACCACCGGCAGGGACCTCGAAAGCAGTGATAACAACACTGGTGCAGTCGGTCAAGTCTGAGGCAGTGCTAACGCTGTCGACAGTGCATGTTGCGCGTTTGGCTGTATCGACCTTGGTCGGACTGGCCAATGCGCCAGAGAAAACTGTAGCGAGGATGGTGAAAGCAAGGAGGGATTGCATCGTTGATAGTCTGTACTACGGGAGATCCAACTTGAGGGAAGGAAGTGAAGAGATCGAATGATCTCAGAGGGGTTTTTATGCCTGAACCTCACGGAGAAACACAAGTCTTCCAACTCTCTAGCGATTACTTTCCTCCCATGCTGACAAGTTACAAGTTCCTACGAACCGAAACGACGTCCTGCTGTGCGAGGCGGCCCGTCGGTGTGTAATATCGGTATATTGGTGGTCACCAGAATGTTGTTGCCTAGACGGAGGAGGGCGGATGATGAACGGACCGCGAAAAAACGAGCGGGAACGAATTTGTTGGAAAGGAGAAGCATGTGCTGCGCGAAGCAACGGACAATGTAAAGAACTGCACGAACAAAGATGTACATGAAGGGCCAATGATGGCCAATGAAGAGTACCAAAGCGAGGGAAATTCATACATGGTCATCCCAGTGACCTTAAAGAATTCCGATGTTTATCCAAAGCTGCATGCGGTAAAAGGTGAGCTTAAAATAACAACGCACCACACACCAACTTCAAAGAATTCGAATGGACAGGCACCACAATTTATATCTTCATTTAAGCAATCTCCCTTTATCTCCTCCCAAAATCTTCTTGATTTACTTAAATGATTGTCAGTCAAAACTTCGGAAGAATTCAATGGGTAGTAAAACAAGCGCAGTCAGGCAAAGTTGTATATTTCCAGCTATTGCCACTCATTCAAAACGCTGAAAACCCTGAGCAGGTGCATTGATGCATCGCAAGAGGCCCGTCCTGGACCGTCGGTACCGTAATCCGTTGGTTGTAATATGAGCAAAAAAGCGAAAAATGAGATTCAGGTGAAAGAACATCCGACACTTTACCTTATAGTATCTCCGATGTGCAGCTGCTCTGCACGGACATGGGCCATGAGTGCATGTGTACCATAACAGTGAGGAGCTGGCATACCAACATCGATCGTCACCACAAACTGCCAGCATTGCATGTTATATTTTGAAATGTTTGCCGAGGGTGACCGAGTCACTTCGAGGTTTGAAACTGGATGAAAAGGCCCTTCCCGACTTATCGCAAACACATACGAGAGCATCTGGCGGGGAATACGTAGCATCGCATGAATCCCCGGAATCTTGCGAAGTAGTCGTCCGACTCGCTATCCAAGATTATGCCTGTAGGCGTGTTCAACGTCTGAGAAGAAACATCTGGGCATCGTCACTAAATTTGACATTCCCTTTGCCCACCTCTATTCTTTTCAAACAAGCTCCAAGAGCATCTAAACAATCGATTTGGAGGTAGTTGAGGGGATTCATACATCATGTGTAAAGCTGGTAAATTTTAAGTACAGCTAGAAGCAAAGACTTGGATATCAGATGTTGCGCAGACGAAAAAAACAAGCAGACAGAAATGGTACGAACTGATTAACGAGCAGGGCTCTATGTGGATATGAACTCGAGGTAAACAAGGCATCTACCTCAGGAAACTTTTGAGTCGATGTGAGAAGTCAACGAATGAAAAGTTGGAATCAGGCATGCTTCAAACAAGACATACTTCTATGATTACTACGGAGTACCATGCAAGTCCTGGTGATCTATATCGTGTACAGGCCTCTGAGGATGTTGCGAAGAGAAGGAAGGGATCCTTAACTCATATAGCATAGCATTGGTACTACCATATATCTCAAAGTGCCATTCATCACCATGTTGGGTCCCAGTAGCGAAGCAAGAAGACTCTTCCATCTTGCAGTCATGACCTACTCCATCGCCCCAATAATAAAAAGAAAGTACACTCAGGTCGTAGTCCAACCGATTGTGGTATTGAGGCTTCCACTTTGCTTTTGCGTCATTATTCAACCTGATGCCATCTGTGACAGATTTTACAGTCTCCTTAACCCAAGGTAAGCTTGAGCCTGTGCCAGGAGTCGCTATGTCTGGATTTGCGAAGTAGAATTTGATATGGACGATAGGGAGTGACTGTGGATGTACGAAAAGATTCAGGTTATATACTGGTAAAAAAAGCACTGTATGATGAATACGATGTGGACTTACATGGATAGGTGCAGCATATGCTGCTAGTAGAAAACTAGCGTAAATTGACAGATAGCTGGCTTTGAAAAGCATTATGTGACGTCTGGAAGCTGTTAGCGATAGATATTTACAAAGAGACAAACTGACCGGAAAGAAAGCAAGATTAGGATGCGAGAAAATGTGAGACTGGCCAGCAGTTCACAAGTGGCAAGAGACAAAGATCGCGACTTGAACCTGAAGTTTTTGAACATTTTACATAAGCAAAATGAGCGTTTATAATTGGCCAGTAGTTGGCGGAGGTAAGAAATTGTTTCGGTGCATTGATGATACCTCGAAGGACTCATCGAGGTGCAAAGGCACTGCGCTCTTCCGTCTTGACTAAAAATCAGAGCTCGTTGAATATCACCGCTTCTACATCGCGAACTTATGCCACATCCATAACATACGGAACATCTTCAAGATCACCTCAAACGGTGATTGAAAAAGTCGTTGAACGATACACGGTTGGGTTACCTCAAGGACATACTGTTCAGGCTGGAGATTATGTTATGATTCGACCAGAACATGTGATGACTCACGATAATACTGGGCCCGTTATTTCCAAGTGCGAAATAACCCAGCTTCCAAACAGTGTTATTGATTTATGAACTAGGTTCAAATCTATCGGCGCAACTTCCATTCATAACCATCGTCAACCAGTGTTTACTCTCGACCACGATGTGCAGAACCTGTCCCCAGCCAATTTACAAAAATATTCGAAAATTGAATCCTTCGCCCGTCAAAATCATATTGACTTTTACCCTGCCGGTCGAGGTATAGGTCACCAAATTCTAATCGAAGAAGGTTACGCTTTCCCGTACACTCTCACCGTCGCTTCAGACTCCCACTCGAACATGTACGGCGGCGTAGGCTGTGTCGGGACGCCAATAGTTCGTACGGATGCAGCCGCACTGTGGGCAACTGGCAAGACGTGGTGGCAAGTTCCGAGAATGATTAGGGTCGAGTTGAAGGGAAGACTCAGAGCTGGAGTCACTGGGAAAGATGTCATCGTCGCGCTTTGCGGGGCTTTTGGCAAGGACGAGGTATTGAATGGCGCGGTGGAATTCTGCGGAGAGGGCGTAGAGAGTTTAACTGTGGAAGAGAGACTGACCATCGCAAACATGACGACCGAGTGGGGAGCATTATCAGGGGTGTTTCCGGTAGACAGAACGCTCGTCGACTACTACGACGGTGTGGTGGATAAACTTGAACGCAGAACATTTGGAGGAGAAGGAATTCCACCTCCGCCTGAACACCCCAGGCTCAACCGTACACGAGTTGACTCTCTCCGCCAAACACCTTCTACCTCATTTGCTTCAGATCCAGCGGCTACCTATGCACTTCGACTATTGTTTGATCTCTCCTCCCTCGTTCCGCACGTTTCCGGACCAAATTCCGTCAAAATCGCTACACCCTTACCTAAATTGGAAGACAAAAGTGTGCAGGTGAACAAAGCGTACCTGGTATCATGTACAAATTCGAGGGTTGAAGATTTGAAAAGTGCCGCTGATGTATTCAGGGGGTACGAGACACCCTCCTCGTCTGCTTCACCAGTCTCTGCATCGGCTTCCCCAGATGTTTCAACAATCAAGCACCACGTTCATCCCTCTGTTCAATTTTATATCGCTGCTGCTTCTTCCGTCGTGCAAGCCGAGTCTGAAGCAAGAGGGGACTGGGATGTTCTTGTTCGTGCAGGAGCAAAGGTATTGCCAGCTGGATGTGGCCCGTGTATTGGGTTGGGAGTGGGTTTGTTGGAGGAGGGAGAAGGTTAGTGTCAATCTTTGTTATCTATTGGATATTTTTCCCTGGTTGTAGCCAGTCGAGGGGTTTTTGAACTTCAATTTACATATGTGCAAGTTCTACACGTTCAATCCCCTTATCTCGATCCGTTCTTCCCTTTCACTTCATCTATACCCTCGTACTGACTTTCAACTCGCAGTTGGCATCTCCGCCACCAATCGCAACTACAAAGGCCGCATGGGCCATCCTAATGCACAAGCCTACCTTGCCTCGCCTTCCGTCGTTGCTGCGAGCGCGGTTCAGGGGATAATATGTGGACCGGATTCGTTGGGCTCTGTTCGATCAGAGGAAAAAGATCTGGATCTGGAGCCGAAGTATGATATCGTGGAATTGACGTCCTTAAAATCTACTACCTCCCCAACACTCGCAGAATCAACGACAACGAATTCAACGTCGATAGAAATCATGCCGCCGTTCCCGACCCAGATCAATGGTCCGATCCTGTTCTTACCTGCAGATAATGTATCGACGGATGCTATATATCCTGGTGAGCATGCTGAGAATTTTCCTCTTCTATATCGATTAGCATGCTCATCTCTACACTATCATCTCTGTTTTTCTCTTGCCCAAAATTACTGCGACACCTCCGACTGAAAGGAAAATACACGTACCAAGATTCCATGTCTCGCTCTCAAATGGGCGAAGTGGTGCTGGAGAATTATTCCCAAAACGCTAGCGGGGTATTACAGACTCTGAGGAGGAGTTTAATTGAGCCTTGGGTCCATCCGACAACTGCTGCAGAGGCTTTGACGACCAACACCACAAGTCCGTCCTCGCCTTCGACCACATCGTCTCCAAAGTCAACACCGAGCACAACAACAACAAGTACAAGCTCAAGTACGACCTCAAATGCAAACCCAAAGAGCACCACTATATCCGCCCCTCTCCTGATTTCTGGCTTCAATTTCGGTACTGGTTCCTCTCGTGAGCAAGCTGCCACCTCACTGCTCGCAGCGGGTGTCCCGCTTGTTGTTGCTGGCTCTTTTGGCGACATATTCAAGGTGAGGTCTCCAGACCTTCCTAACCTTCTTTCGAACCGATGGTCTTTTTGTGTTCGTTTGTTGTGTCCACCCATCAGGTTATAGAATGACCGTTGGAACACTCGTTTCCTTGTGGCTGTCATTCGTGTCGTCGTTGGCTCGTTCCTGTGTAATGCATATCGTATCATTTCGATTTCCGGCCGATCTTGCGTCGAGATGTTCGCTCTGGTTCTTGTCTCAAGAATTCCTATTTTGACAATCCCTTATCCTGTACCAATTTCAAATGCTAATCTTACTTTCTCTTCTTACAGCGTAACGCAATCAACAACGGCCTGATATGCTTGGAATGCCCCTCTCTCGTTGACTACTTGACCTCCACTTATTCGACCCAATTAGAAGGAGGGAGGAGGAGTGCTGGTGCAGGGAATGGGGTGATGATTTGCGACTCTGCTAAAGCCCATAACGCGAACGCGGATAATAATATGTCGAGCTCGGGTTTAAAGTTGGGCTTGGAAGTGGATATGGCTGAAGGTGTCATGATGCTTTCCGAGGGGAAGAAGGAAAGTAAATTTACATTTAAAAGCGTAGGTACTAGTGTACAAGAGCTGTGGATTTGTGGGGGATTAGAAGGGCTGGTTTTGAAAGAGTTGAGGGAGGCTCGGGAAGGAAAGGCATGATAGGTCCCAACACACGATACCCCAACACACGATCTATAAACTGTAACCTGGAATACAGGCACCGTTAATGCGTTCCAAGTGGAGACGCGATCTCTGTTCACACTAGATTTGGTTGTATTCTTGAGCAGACGCATGGTCAAAGCGCCTGCTTTTACTTACATAAACCGGAACCGGCATTCCTTCTTGTTCTTCCCGACAATCTACAGCCTGCGTTCTCAGGAGAATCATGCTTCTTATTAATGTGAATATATCGTTTCAACAACTCGCACGACTAGCTACAACCACCAGGAGAAATGGTGGTCAAAAGTCTTAATCATCTCCCAATTCCAACTTCCGCAAACAACGGTCCAAGGTCGGTATCGACCCGTCGATACGTAGCCGGTGTCGTTTTTGGAATCTTCTTCTTCTTGCAACTTGGCCGCTACGCATTTGATTTGGGCAAAAATCTTGATATTACTGTTGACGATGTCACCTCTTGGACTCATAACGTGAATGCTGCTCACTTTTGTCCTCAAGTCACTGCTCTGTACCCTCAGAGCTCAGTCAATGCAGAAACTTGGACAGAATTTGGAGAGTTGCTTGAAACCGAAAAGTTCAAAACTTTGGCGATTGAGAAGTTGAGTGGGTTGATTCAGATTCCGTAGGTTGTTCTTTCTGTTCACTCTGTCACATACTGAGTTGCCTCCGACTACCAACAGATCCGAATCTTATGATAATATGCCTCCGCCCGGCCAAGACCCGCGATGGGAGACAATGGGTCAAGTACATGACTATTTGGCTGTAGCTTTCCCATTAATGTTCGTATCTTCAAATTTCGGGATTTGTTCACAATCTCACCCAATTGCAGTCACTCTACATTTTCCCTTGCTAAAGTCAACACCTATGGCCTTCTTTATGAATGGACTGGCTCCGACGCCTCGCTCAAACCCTATCTACTCGCCGCTCACCAGGACGTTGTTCCCGTCAACCCCGACACACTCGATACTTGGATTTATCCCCCTTATTCTGGTTTCTACGATGCGGAGACAGGACTTATATGGGGTAGGGGAACTTCAGATGATAAGGCTAGTCTAACGGGGATCATGTTGACGCTGGAGACGTTGATCGGGAAAGGATGGACGCCAAAAAGGACAGTAGTGCTTGCATTCGGATTCGATGAGGAGTCTAGCGGGATCCATGTGAGTCGAACCGGTTTCATCCTAATGACCCGACAATGATGGGACATCGTTTCCATAGGGTGCGAAAACTCTTGGAAAAGCGTTGGAGGAAATATACGGTCGGGACGGGCTTGCATTTATCGTAGATGAAGGAGGCAAGAGTCCATCCCCAGCTCCTCATAAATTCTAAACGATAATAACTGGGATATCATCGCATAGGAGGGTTCAAGGACGTCTATGGAACGATCTTTGCTACGCCCGGCGTAGCGGAGAAGGGTCACGCCGACATCAAGGTGGAAGTCACTTCACCTGGTGGCCATTCAAGTATTCCTCCGGCTCATACGGTTTGTAGCGTCTTGTCTGTACTTAATTCCAAGTTCATTCCTTACCATAAACAGACAATCGGGTACCTTGCGTCAATAATATCTGAACTTGAACAGAACCCGTTCCCAGTCGAATTGGTATGTATATCACTACCACTATGACTTCAAATTTCCGTTTACTGCCGCTCTCAAGGCCCGAGGCACAGTACCCCATGACACCCTCCTCTGCTATGCGGCACACGGCCACGACATCTCCCCTCGTCTCAAACATGCAATATTCAAATCCACTCATTGCGATGCAGCTTTGCATAGAGTCGAGGATCTCTATGTCTCAAAAGATCATTGGTATTCTAGCCTTGTTGGTACTACCCAGGCTGTGGACATGATATATGGCGGTGTCAAGGCGAACGCTTTGCCGGAGAGCGCGTACGCTATCGTTAATCACAGGATTAATACCGTTAGGTGAGTGATGGAAGGTCCAATATGAGGATCTCCGAATTGATATGTCTATTGTGCGCCACAGTTCTGTGAACGAGACAGCTGCTCATGACACGCAAACCATCGCCGGTCTCGCTCGGTCCTTCAATCTCACTCTCAAAGCGTTTGGAGAAGATATTATCCCAGCCTCCGCCTATTCCTCGTCTGAATCCAAGGGCCACATCGAGCTCTCCCAAGCATTCAACCACGAACTTGAGCCTGCTCCTCGCACGCCTACGTCCGGAAAAGGCAGCGAGCCTTGGGATTTCTTGAGCGGGACGATCAAAGCGACGTATGCTGCTCATCGAAACCTCGGGGGGGTCGATGGTAGCAACATCGTTGTGAGTCCCGGGATGTCGACGGGGAATACGGGTACGTGGTGCTTTCTCATCATTGCATCTATTTTGACTGACAGGGTTGTTCATAACGCAGATACGAAATACTATTGGAACCTCACACGACATATTTTCCGGTACAACCACAAGAACGGTGCTTACGGAGGAGAAATCGCTACTGGTGTGCATACTGTGAACGAAAGTGTGTTCCTTCAATCATTGTAATTTGAGTACTATCGCTGATCATCACAACTTCCACCCGTAGATATTCCCCTCGACCATTACCTTGAAATGATTCGATTTTTCTCGACACTAATTCTCAATGCGGACGAGGCAAAGAGTTTCGAGTGACTGACCTGTACTTGAAGAAAGGAAGGTAAATGGGTGTGGGTCGGCGATAGGGAACAATGCAGAAGTAGAGAATTAGGATACTCGACGATTTTTTCGAAGACTCTGCTCTGTATAACCTGGCATGGATTTATGTATTCAAAAAGAATCACTCATCTTACATAAGAGGGTCTCCAGAGATGTTCATTTCCCGTACATTTTTTCCTAAGTTTTCTTTTTTAGAGGTGTTTGAGGCTGTCATGATATGTATAGAGCATAGATGTACTCAGCTTGTTCTGTGATGTTTTATTGCTCCAGCTTTCGGGGACATCGCCCTTCAGCTCATCCAGTTGGCACCTGGATCCGATGTGGTGCCACTGTTCAACAACTGGGATTGGGGGAGGGGGTGAAAGGCCATTCATTAACAAAGCGCCTCATTGGAAAGTACACCCCCAATACTATCCGAAGTGCAATGCCTAAGAATGCCTAGCCCAACACCGGCACAGCTACCAATTGCCGGCAGATAGCAGCAGATTAGATAGCAGGCAGGTATATGCCATTTCCTTATAAGTAGTGGGATAGCTTGTATTTCCACATTGTTTTCCATCGAGGTCGCATAGGGTCGCTTGTGTTCTTTTCACCGACGGTGTCATTGATCTCTTGGTGTTCGCTGGTGCCTGTTGGTCTCTGTTGGTATATTGCTGAAAATTTTACCATCCACAGTGCGCATAGACCTGCATAGACCCTCATAGACCTCGTGTATTGGTTGATTCCTTCTCCTTCCCTTTTTTTCCCGTCGGTGAGCGTCGGTGCAGGTCGGTGCATGTTACCGCCTGTGTCACGCATCATTGTGTGTGCGTAATTTTTTTCTTCTTAGAAGGCGGCGTTATAAACCTTTCATCCTCCATATACTTCCCCTTGATAGGACTTGCCAGACATTATATGGAATCTTGTGATTTGTGGCCTGCCTATGCAGTTTCTACCAAGGATGAAGATGTATCCTGTGAGATCCTGTGTCGAAAGAAACATTGTTAACAAATCTGCAGTAATCATCTTTGCCCCTTGCAAGTGACCAATCCAGGTGTAGCTCCGCAGGTGAACTATTATTATACTGACTGATACCGAATCTTACCGCTCGCAGAATTCACGCGTCCACTCGGTAGATGAATTTCTGCTCACTTTTGATTATCCCTCCCTAACAATTCCTCTGTTTCCGCGATGTAAAAAAATTGTGTAAGTAGTAGGAATTCCATAGGCAACGCGACAGCATCAAAGTAATATTCTCCTTAGTTGTTTCGCAAAGAGCGTTGAAGGAGTACGAAAACACCAGGAGAACACTTATGCGGGAGCAAGTAGTCTTTGCAGTGGTTCTCAGTACATGTATGTCAAAGGATCCAGTTGGCACCCGCTCAGCACAGCGTCGGATCAGTGACCCTGTCTCTATGTCGAGCATATAAACCTGATATAAACCTTCGTTCCCAATTTATCTCCCTCTCACTTGTCACATTTCCCAGAGCTGGTCTCTGTACGTTTGCATTTTTCATATCAGTCATGGAAAGCAAAAGCCTCCAGGTCTATCATACCTCGACTCATTACAAGGGTTTAGGAGGCTGGATATTTCGTACTGTTCTTCTTGCGATCCTAGCTTCGACGTTGCTAGCAACGACAGGTTATACATCCCCCACTCCCCTCATGCCAGAACATCCAGGGCTTGGACTCCGTTCCACAACACTCGATCATGTCTATCCAATTTCAGTTCCGGGTCACAAGTACTACACTTCATATCATCATAATGTTCGTACGGCACCGGATGAAACTACTCCGGAGGACGAGCAACAACGCCATCCAAATCAGGTGGTCCAGCCCCGGTACCTTGATTCAAGGGGAGCTAGTAGTAGTGCAGTAGACAAAGTGATGGATCGAGTTGTAAGAAAATTTTATAAGGGATTTTTTTTGGTTGGCTTTGCCTATGTAGCTCCTGTGAGCTTGTCCTTCCATGCTCATCTTGAATCTCGAGTTGAAATGTGGCGGATTGCTTGCTCTACAGATAATTGGCGAGGCGTCCCAAAAGTTTGTGCTAAGAGATATCGATAGCTTGATACTTCCTGGCCTAAACTTGGAGTCAAAGGGCTCGGTTTTCTATCTCCTACCAAGGCTTGGACTGGAGGGCCAAAACCCTAATGTGAGTACCAGTGTGGTGTGTTGATCTTACCTGACTGACTTGAATTTCAAGAATTATTGGAGTGTGGGTACTGAATCAGACCTTTCTATATCATTTGTTGACGGGACATTTTTATTTTAGTGTCAGATATATGCATTGATTCAAGAAGATGAGGAAAACCCTCCAATGGTGATTGAGACTTGTTTTTCTAGTTTCACTGCACTCACCCAGTGGTTGCAGTCCTATGACGAACTTGTGTTGGTACCTTCACCCAGTACTGATGATGCCGGATCACTCTTGCAATACCGCCCGCCTACACATCCGAGTTCGAACGACGCCTCGATCCACTTCTATGGCCATCCTAAAAACAAGAAGATTACCGTGATAGAAGTTCCAAAGAGAGTGGAGCAATGGTTATTATCTGCACAGTGTTATAGAAGTGAGTTCTTGCATGCACAATTTCCTTACCCTCGTCGCTCACTGCTCAAATTATCTAGCTGCGACCATTATTCAAACCAAGGCTGATTGGGATGAACTCATACCGGAAATAAAAGGATGGCCAAAAGGCCGTACCATGTGATGATTCTCCCTTATGTGTAAACTGTAAAGGTTTCTGGATGTGGAGTAATACGTGTTGAATACGATTTTGAATGTCTTTGACAACCGGAATCTGAGGCCTCTGTATTTGTACCCAGTCATTTGAGTGTTCTAGAGCAGTGGGACATGACTTACGTAAGGTTATGGTTCCGTAAAGTCTTCATGGACAAGGACCATCGAGATGACTTTACTTTCGCCCGACTCTCAGACTTGAAAGTTCCTGTAACCCTTCGAATGCAAGTCGGCATTTCGCGATCTTGAAGGCGCTGATTTGAACTTGAACAGATCGCAATTGGAAGGAATTCGGAAACCACGAAGCTTTACTGAAGTGCTGGAGAATCCTGACCTCAAATTCCACGGCGTTCAGTCCTCGTAAGTAACTTTAGTGATATTGTTAGCATGTTCAATGACAGAGGTGGCTCAAGGACACTGTCAGATCTCTATGTCATTTGTCAACTCATCGCGGATAACAAACCTTTAACGATTCCGTTTCGGACGTCTTTCAAAGCTTTCAAAAATGCTTACATGTGTGTACCGGATCTACGATAATATTCAACGGCTCTGAGACTTATTCATTAGTTGGAATGAATGGATAACATTTCCAATCCGGTATTGCGACCTTCCACTCAGTTCTCAAATAACGTTCACCGTCTGGGACATCGCCGGTCCAAGGTCCGCTGCTCCTGTTGGTGGGACAACCTTTAGGCTTTTTGGGAAAAAATGGTGAGTAAACCTTCACCTTAGTTCTTCCAACATATCTCACGGTAACTCATGTAGGACGTTACGTCGAGGGAAGCATCGTCTATTGCTTTGGCCGGGAATTGAGGCCGATGGCTGTGTGGATTCTGCAACGCCGAGCAAGATTCCTGGAGCTACGGACGAAATGGGACGATTAGAGAAATTGGTCAAGAAGTATGAACGCGGTGACCTGCCAAAATCAGAATGGTTGGATAAGATTACATTCAGGAAAATGGAGGAAGTTCATGCAGTGTGTATATCTTTTGTTCATCTTTCTCTTTTTCTTACGCGCCCTTCATGCAGGCAGAAACTCAGAAATCCGAAACCCTATTCCTATACATCGACCTCCCGCGATTTGACTTTCCAGTGATATTTAGTGAACCCGAATACCTAGCCAATCCTACTTCAAGCTCAACCCTTTCTCGGCCACCGCTACCCCCGCCCCCACCGACGCCCTCCCAGCCCGTTTCCACTTCATTTGCCTCGGACAATACTCATTTATGGAGTATCATCGATCCTGAAATTGCGCGAGAGAATCCCGTGGAGGACAAACATCGACGACTAGTGCGCAGTCATCGTAGTGGTCCTTACGATCGTGAGTTGAAGCCTAATGCTAAAGATAGGGATAATATCGGAGTGCGTGCTTCTAATCTACTCGTCATTCCATTCAGTTTATGACTTTCGAGTAGGAAATTCTCAATTACGCGCCTAGCCAGCCTCTTAGTCCCGAAGAGAAAGACCTCATTTGGAAATTCCGCTTCCACCTCGCTCGAGATAAACGCGGACTCACCAAGTTTCTCAAAGCTGTTACATGGAGAGATCCTTCCGAAGTCAAACAAGCTGTTGAAGAACTACTGCCTCAATGGACCGAAATTGATATGGACGATGCACTAGAACTACTTGGTCCTGGAACGGTCGACTCCCGGGTCCGGGCATTCGCTGTTAAGCAATTGATGAGAGCTGATGATGATGTATTTATCCCATTCCTTCGAACGGACTCATCCCTATGTATTAAATCCGCTCAATTTACAGGAGCTTCTGCTATACCTTCTTCAACTCGTCCAAGCGCTTAAATTTGAAAATGCCGCCACCGACCAGCGCTCTTCTAGATCGGCAACTAATGCAATTTCTTACGACGACAGTGGCCTGACGGATTTTCTTGTTTCGAGAGGAGTGCAGAATCCTTTGCTGGGTAATCGATTGTATTGGTATCTGATGGTTGAGGTTGCATTGGAGGACAAGGTCATCTCGAAGATGTTTGGGCGTGTGGTATTTAAATTCATGAACAAGATCCTAGAGGTGAGTCTGTACCGATTTCGTATCTCGTTGCCTTGTCAAGAATTTTCCAGATTGAGAATGGATCTGATCGACGAGAGCTACTTCGCCGGCAAGGTCAACTTGTCGAAACACTTGCCAAGCGCGCACGCGAACTTCGAACATCGAAGGACGGGACTGGAAAGAAGAAAGAGCGTTTACAAGCTCTCTTAGCAGACTCAAAGAACAATCTTTCATCCATGGCGCCCCTTCCCTTACCTCTCAATGCCCAAATCGAAATTATCGGTATCATTCCGGAAAAATCCTCCGTCTTCAAATCCGCAATGTATCCTCTCCTCCTATATTTTCAATGCTCTGATGGCTCAGAATACCCCGTCATCTTCAAAGATGGAGATGACATGCGTCAAGACCAACTGGTACTGCAAATGTTCACCCTGATGGATCGGTTGTTGAGACAGGAAAATTTAGATCTCAAGCTCACGCCGTACGCGGTGCTCGCGACTGGACCGATGCAGGGAATGGCACAGTTTGTGCCCAGTAAGACGATTGCGGCGATCGTTAGCGAGTTTGGGAATGTGCAGTCTTACTTAAAGGCGAATTTTCCCGATGAAGGGAGTGTGGGCACTTGGGGGATTGAGCCAGGGGTCATTGATACGTTTGTCAGGAGCTGTGGTATGTGGACAGGTTGTGGACTACAAGAATATACCTGATCCGACCTTTCTATAGCTGGTTACTGTGTTGTAACATATCTCCTCGGGGTTGGTGACCGACATCTCGACAACTTGCTTGTTGCTCCAGATGGTATGTTCTCTTCCTTTTTTCGTAAATCATTTCTACAATCGATGTTTTCCAGGCCACTTTTTTCATGTTGACTTTGGCTATATTCTCGGACGCGACCCGAAACCTTTCCCTCCAGCCGTCAAAGTCTGCAAGGAGATGGTCGATGGCATGGGTGGAACTCAGTCCAGCCACTACATGCGCTTCAAGTCCTTCTGCTTTACCGCATTCACCATTCTCCGCAAAAGTGCAAATCTCATACTCAACCTGGTTGTGCTCATGGTTGACGCTAATATACCGGATATCAATAAACACCGAGACGTACAGGAGCAGATACAGGAAAAGTTTCGGTTGGATTTGACGGAGGAAGAGGCGATAAAGCATTTTGAGATGCTACTTAATGAGACAAGTTATTTCACTGTGATGTTGGATAGGATACATGATCTTACGCAGCAGTATTGGCGTACTTAAATGGTCGACCATTGCTTCAAATGTGTATACTATTCAGATTGTATGCATATCTAGATGTGGGCATTGTTTATGGGTTCGTAAAAACACAATTTTGGTGAATCAGTATCAGCGAAATAAGGATACGGTGTCGGCAAAACAAAAAAGTATGTAACACAAGCACAGCGGTAGAACGAAAATACAAGAGTTTGAAGATTATATCATGCTATGCTTCTTGTCTGGCTAGGCCTCTGATCTCTTTCGCGCTTATACTGGATCGCCCAACCTTCCACCTCATTCTCCACCTCCTGCACGGTCACGCCACAGGACGCATAATGACGCGCTACGTCCTCTTCCGAAACATTGCCAGAACCACCAGATTGACCTGTGAAAGGGACATACTTGGCCACAGGGGAAATTCGAAGGCCCAGCTGCCTAACTAAAATTTTGTAGCGTCCCTTGTCAGTGAACAGGGAAAGCGTTGCGATAGTAAATTGGTTTCGGATATAAGTCATATCCTCGTGAAGAGGGCGAAACTGCGCGAACATACGAGATGCTCTCAAATCAGCCATCCATGGATCTCCGTTGCTCTGCTTCCTTACACCATTAGGCCAAGAAAGACTGTGCGTTTTCAAGTACTCAAACCACACCTCAGGTGAGTCCGTAAGTTTCGGGTTGACCAGGACAACGTTGCTCGTATCAGAGCTATGGCCTGGACGTCGATCTCGGTGGCGATTTCTTCCTGTGCGGCGCGAAGTCCGGGACAATGGAGAATCAGGGAGGGGAGGCTTCTTCCAATGGATGAGCACATATCGCATTCCAAAAGTTCTGTCCGGAGTATCAACCATATGAGCTTCTCTGCAAAGAGCTTTGCACTTGGCTAGAGCATCGGCGTCGCCAGAATGCGCCTCATCAAATAGAGTGGTCAAGACCTCCCTCAAGTTTCCTGTCCGAAGATTGCCCTCATAGTAACCCGGAATATCTTCTCCAGGACGAAGATTAGGGATGTGGCGCGAGATGGTAGGATGTTCGGTACTGGGGGACGCGCGCGGGATAGCAGAGCTAGAGGAAGAATGGTCGCATTTATGATTATCAGTAGAGACTTGTAAGCTCGTGTGTAAGCTCGTGTCAGCCCTATGCCTAATATCACTGACTTTGGCAGAGGACTTTAGCTGAAAGTCAGGAGTAATGTGGCGTAAGGAAGAATCTTGAGCGAGGATCAAATTCTCGACGTTGACGTCGTCGTTCCAGAGATACTTGGTAGTGTTGGTAGCAGCAGTATCGGACATGCTTAACCAGAACTCCTCTCGCGTCGCAAAAGTGGGGTGCGTGAACGTGGACAAAAATTCGACCAACGAAATCTGTCCAAGAACAACTCGCGTAAGATATTTGAGTTCTTCTTCAGCTTTCGCCTGTTTTATTTGTGCGATATTCAGATCCTCTTCCAAAACCTGGAGATCATCCAATGGCGCTGTAGACGAGTACCTACGAGCCCCTTCTTTTAACCCCCGCCGCCACAGTATATCGTGATGTTCATGCATCTTGGCGTAGGCTTCCTCGATTCCTCGTACCTTTTGTTGGCGAGAATGATGAATGTGAGAGGCGAAATCATTGCAAGTTATACAACCTATGTCGTTGTTGTGGATGACGCCGTAGACTTCGTAGTCGACGTCCCAACAAAGATGCTTCTCGCCGGGGGTGCAAGTGCAGAGATCTGGCTCTGGCGTCGACCCTTCGTTTTCGGATTGGCTAGGTCCCGAAAAATTTGAGAGGTTGCACAACCTATCAGCAATGGGTGACCGTCGCTGTGAGGACTTGTTAGACAGCATAGCTAGTGACCCACACAAGCAAAGAAGAAAAAAATTAGTTGGGGAAAGTGGACAAGCGGGTATTGAACTTTATAATCAGAAAGAACTGACTGAATCTGCATCTTGATTTGGTGTATGAATAATCAATGACACACAAATCACCTCATGGTAAGGCAAGATCATATATAGTACATCCTGCCGACACCCCTTGTTCGGAAGACGGAAGAGCGGAAAAGGAAACTTGCAAAAGCTGTTTCGATGAATTCATTGAAGTTCACGCATTCCTACCGACAGCATGGCCACGCTAGTACACCTGTTACACGAGGAAAGTTACGAAGAAGGAACGGTAAAAAAGTCGACTTGACTCCTCTTTGTGTTCATTCCGGAAGTTTTTTTTTTGGTAAAGTGATTGGTATACTGTATAGTAATTACTCACGGCCTACACATCGCCATCGTAACACCGCCTATCCACTTCTTTTTCGTGCTTGTGACAAGAAAACACCTTTTATTCTGACTCGGGCTTGTAGTCAGGACGCAGTGATCGAACAGTCTTGCCTAGAAAAAGGATTATTACATATCAGAAAAAAAGGAAGATTCAAGCAATGATGAATAAATGAGGAACCCATAATATTGCTTCTCAACAATCGAAACGAAGGCTTACCTGCACGCCAGATCTCCTGGTTGTTGATAACCTCAAGTTCTGCAGCGAGATCTTGCCTGTAGGTCGATCTTCCGTTGAACTCGAGCGACTTGCGGGTCTCGGTCCCGTTCTTCACGCTCTCATACAATTGTTCGAAGATAGGGACGTTAGCTTTTTCGAAAACTGGTGCCCAGTCAAGAGCGCCACGACGAGCAGTTGTTGAACATGCGTTGAACATGTAGTCCATTCTATGAACAAGGAAAGTCAGAACGCGAATATGATAACTTGAACCAAAGTCTAAATGTTACTAACCCTTTAGCACCGATCAGAGGGTAGAGTGACTGGGTTGCTTCTTCGACAGTTTCGTTGAAAGCCTCGGAGGGACTGTGGCCATTCTTGCGGAGAACTTGGTACTGAGCAAGGAACAGACCCTCTAAATGGAGTAAGATGAGATTGCAAATTATTTGTCGATCAGTTATCAAGACGTACGAATAGCGCCCATAAGCTATGGTAAAAATATCATCCGTGAGCATGTATGAGTCGACGAAGACAGCAATAATGTGGGACTTACCACACCACGTTCACCGTACAAGTCGGAGTACACCTCTTTCTCAAAGGTGGTATCGTACATGTATCCGGAACCGATACCGACACCAAGAGCGATAGCCTTCTCTTTCGCCTTACCAGTCACATCTTGGAACACAGCGACGGACGAGTTGATCCCTCGTCCCTCCTTGAAGAGTGTACGTACGGTACGCCCAGACCCCTTGGGTGCGACGAGGATAACGTCGACATCACTAGGAGGTATGACCTTGGTGTCTTCCTTGTACACGATAGAGAACCCATGTGAGAAGTATAGAGTCTTTCCTTTGGTGATAAGAGGTGCGACTTCGTGCCATGTTTGCGACTGGGCAGCATCTGAGAGGAGGTTCATAATGATGGTACCCTTCTTGATGGCTTCTTCGATAGGGAAGAGAGTTTCTCCTGGGACCTGCGAGAAAAAGGGTGAATAAATGTCCATTTAGAATTAAACTTTGCATTCATACATACCCAGCCATCTTCCATAGCCTGCTTCCAGCTTTCTCCGTCCTTTCGGACACCGACAATAACGTTCAGGCCGTTGTCACGAGCATTCAGACCCTGTCCGTGACCTTGAGAGCCATACCCAATCAAAGCAAGAGTGTCGTCTTTGAAGTAGTCCTGGAGTTTTGCCAAAGGCCAGTCACTTCGCTCGTAAACGACTTCTTTCGTTCCAGCAAAGTCAAGGGTTTTTATTCCGCGAGCTCCCTGTTACAGCAACACACACACACGTACGTGTCAGCGTCATGAAGATAGAGAAAAATTTTTGAATATCCACGAACCTCAATAGAAGAGGTTTTTTGGGCAGATGTTGCGTTGGCGGCAACAGCAGCTTTAGCTAAAAGAGAGTATGAAGCTGCCTGGGATTTTATCGGTGCAGACACCATGCGGGGTGAAGCGCGACGAGCAGTGTTGCGCAAAGCTTGGGTTGCAGAGCGAGAAGCGAGAGAAGCCATATTTATGTCGCTGTTACGGGCTGGTATGAACTTTTTTTGTGGAGAGAATGGAAGGAAGGCTAGTACAAAAATAGCCGCCCGGGAGTCATAAAAATTATCAAGTGTTCGGCCTTGATTCGGCCGGTCGGCAATTTGCTCCGAAAGCATTTTCACTGTCAATCTCCAATGCATCCACCGACACCTTGCCAAGGACAATCTTATGACGAACGGTGAGCGCACCGAATACTGCATTGACGACAAGGCAACTTATAACATACAAATACATAGAATCCACCCGTCGCCGCTGGTCGGTCACCACCCTGGATATCTACTACGCCCAAGAATTTAAACAACACTGAGGCTCGTTCTTTTCTTGCTCTACACTGTGTGATTAAATCGTATTATCCAAAAATGCATCCTCAACTGTCCAGAGCACAAGTCTTATCCAATCTTGCTGTTACACCTGATTGTATAGGCCTCGAAGAACAGCCATCTGCCTCCATCGAACGGGAAAAGCTACAAACGGTCCTAACAACTCAGTCATCTTCGAATACTGCAATTGATGGAATCCGATCGGATGACACTCGGATTTTGTTGGCCTTGTCTACTCCTCTAGGTCTTCATCTCGCGCATGGGCTCGCGTATACGGTCGGCTCTGCCCTAGGTTGTGTTCCGCCTAGTGTAGAAGAGTGCTTGGTTGCATTTACAACGACGAACAGAGTCAATCTCACAGCAGGTGCTCGGGCGTGGTCGAAACATGCTCACAGGTCATTTGTCGAGTCCGACTCGCAGGTTCTCCAATTAAGTCAATCACTAGATGCCGGTGATCGAAATGCATTTACTGAACAGCAGCAAAAACAGAGGAAACCGCCGCCACCCATGGGCTGGTGGGGAAAACCCTCTGGACCTGTAGCAACTATCAACGAGAACGCCTTGCATTTGTTCTGGAAAATCATCGGTAATGCTTCATGGAGAAATCTACACTGGCTACCGCATTCGGTGCTGGTTTATGAAGTTCGAGTGAAGATGGGATATGGGATGAGGTGGTCTCAAGATCGGAGTCAGATGGATCAGGGGAGGCAGTCTGGACCGCTGGCTGTTCAGATTATAGACATGCCCCGAAGAAGCGACGACGGACCCGATAAGGAAGTAGCTAGAGGACTCAGAGCTAAAGTCATGAACATGAACGACAGAGGGGATGCTGATGATGGACTAGATACGGATCATCCACCGTGGATATTCAGAGGGTTTGTTGAACCTATGATGGAGGATGGTCATGAAAAAGGCTGGAGACATGCTCCTTAAAGAGAAGGTTCGCTGCGTTGGATTCCATTATCGTGAGTCGACATCTGGCTTCAAGTCTCGTTTTCAGTTTCTAGTATCTGTCCGCACACTTCCGCATTCTTCTATCTCTTCAACAGAGTTAAACGGGTCCTTATAGCAGTGAGACTCGCGCCTCCTTGATGTCTCTCTTTTCCGGAAGTAGCATTGTACCGGCGATTAATCGATTACGAGTCGGAGCAGGATTTCCATTTGATGACAAGTCCAGGGAGATAGTATCGTGGGGGACTCGAAATCCTTTTGTTCGGCTTGGAAATAGTCTATGGAGTATCATAGATGTTTATGTCCCCGCTGTGCTGCGATCGACATCAGGATCTGGTTATGAATTCGCCGGCACAACACCCTTCCTTGTACGTCGTCCCAATCGAGCAAAAAATAATTACATACGTCCTCCCACAACCACAAATCCCAGCAGAAGGACCTGTGGGCTTCTCCTGCGATTACTTTTCAAAGCGCGTGAACCCCAGAGCTCCCCTTCATCGTCTGGGAATCGATCGGATGATCGGACATTCGACACATCTCAGCAAATGTCTCACATAGCAGTATAAGGAGTCCTCAGAAATTCATCCACCCTTTCATCGATCCCCTTTCTCTCTCCGTCATGTCTTCGCCTATATCTTCAAGCGCCAGCACACCTTCACCAATACATTTTTCATCACTGGATAATAAGGCAATGCAAGTCTCGTTTTCGTTGTAATTGCATCCACTACTTTATTCACCCTTATCTTCTGCTATAGATTTATCGACCGCCGAGACGCTCATCACGATTTGTGGGCCTCTGAGAAAATTCAGGCGGAGTATCGAGATTGGCCCCACGATTCCGAGTCGAAGGATCAACGCTTCGAAGGCCTGACGGAACGCATTCAATCGCAATGCAATTATCTGGCTTCGGTATTTAGTTCGGAACGTCGAGTGTACGGTATCAAAGCTGCATACTATTGCGGTCGTCCTATTGCGTTGATTGTCATCGAGGACAGCGACAAGCCGCTGCCTGTAGTGAGTGAAGAACAGATGTTCTTCCCAGTTCATGTCTTCCATGGTGATTTCCGGTGGACCTGCGATACGAGTTCCAGTAAACCACCCATCCCACCCAACAATCATACTCATGCCGGAACACTTATTACCTTAATCCCTTCAACGATCGCCCCTGAGTCCATTCCTCCAACGACTTTTCCTGAATCTACTATACTTTCCTCGACTTCTCCCAGACCATCATCTACGTTTACCGCCGGTGCATTTCTACGAGACAAACATAACCCTTCGCAATGCTTTATCCTTTCCGTTGGCCACCCGATGTCGTCCGGTCGTTCCTCTCTATCCATCACAGAAGAACACCCTACGCTAAAAATTGGATGGCCAGCAATCTCACCCCGAGTAGAAAGAATGCAAAGTCATTTGAGACGTTTGGGAACTTACACGTATTCCAAGAAAATTGAAGCTGCTTTCTGCTATGCGCAGATTACCGCATTGGAAGGATCCCAAGATCAAGTGCTTGATGAAATAGAGGAGAGAAAGTTAGTGCTCAAAACACATTTATTTATATTTGCCTTCCATTGTGATGATAACTGACGTAAATGAAATACAGGCTGGATCGGATTAAGAAACGATACAAATCATTGCAAGAATCGTTATTAGTCGCAGATATGCAGCACAAGCGTGTTTCGGACCAAATAGCAAAATACCAAGGTCTTGCGTTGGGTGATACGGCCATTGGGCACATTCGTGCAGCGTTCCATGGTTACGCGGACCGCGACCTTCCTACAACTCCCAACGTAAACCCCCTCGACAATAAACGCAGCATCCATTCGTCCGATACACCATCACCTTCCTCCATCACAGACGCAAATCTCGTCGACGTCTCACTCATCAAAATCACAGACCCCTCGTTCATACCAAAAAACACGTGTATCCAACTGTTCGAGTCGATCCAGGAACTTCGTCCAGGCCAAGAAGTGTCTTTGGATTGCAACGCTGTGTCAAAAGAGCAGTCTGGTGAAGTCGGTTTGTTGAAAGGATATTTTGGGCTTCCGGATTTTAACCCTAATCCTAATCCTAATCCTAATCCTAATCCTAACCCCGTCGTATTGGGTGCCCTTGATGAGAACGAAAAACAAAAACCTCGGGAAGCGCAGTATTTCGTTGAGGAATACGCTGTTTCCGAGTCGGGATTCACTGCTGCAGGGTCCTCGGGTGCGATTGTTTATACGGATGGGTTCGCTGCAGTGGGTATGGCTGTCGGTCATTTTGTTTCCCTCATTCCGATGTGTGTCGTTCTCCCTCTTGACCGGCTGGTTAAATCTGTGGAAAGAGCGGCTGGGGTTGAGTTGGAGTTTGTTCCTCCTATTTTTGAAGAAGAATTGTGATTATTGAAGTTGGCGCCCGTTCTGCCGTTTGTCGGATGATTCTCGGAATATAGATTTTTCGTTGTTTATACATAATTGTGTGTTTTGTGATTCGTGTTTAGGTGTTCGGTTGTATTGGATTGTTTTTGCATTGGCTTGTACTTCATTTTATATTTCTATTCCTACTTTCACTAATAGGCTTTATTTTAATATTTATACATAGGAGCATTATACATAAAGAGCATCTAGATCATCGATTCATCCATGCTTGTCCTTGTGGTTGCTTGCCCACAAATTAGTAAAATTTTGAAACCCTGGATGGAAAGAACTCGACACGATTATGTACTAGGTTCAGATAGAGAATACGTATGTAGAAATGAGAGAATACGCATGTAGAAAATGAGAGAATACGTATGTAGAAAATGAGAGAATACGTATGTAGAAATGAGAGAATACGCATGTAGAAAATGGGGAGCCGCAGAGACCACACCGCAAGAGAGTAAGAGTAAGAGTAAGAGTAAGAGCAAGAGTAAGAGTAAGAGCATTAAATATCAAACGATGATATATAATAACGCATGTATCATGTATCAAGCAGGGAGGATCAAGCAGGGAGGACAGGGGTAGTAGGAGGGGGAGGGGGATTAGTTCTTCAAGTTGGCTTCGGGGTTGGGGTGGGGGTGAGGGTGAGAGTGTGAGTGAGAATGAGAGTGAGGGTGAGAGTGAGGGTGAGAGTGAGAATGAGGGTGAGGGTGAGAAGGGGTGAGAGTGAGAGTGAGAGTGAGGGTGAGGGTGAGAGTGAGAGTGAGAGTGAGGGTGAGAGTGAGAGTGAGAGTGAGAGTGAGAGTGAGAGGTATACTAGCCCAGGGATGTTTCACCGGGGGGGGGGGGGTTTAATAGTTTGCCTGTTTTGTATTTGTAAATATTCAAAAAGAAAGGTGCAACAGTACCCCCAGCCCATGCAAAGCATGGAGAGGGAGAGGAAGAGGAAGAGTGGAAGTAGAGCAGGAAGAAGAAGAGTAAGAGCAGGAAGAAGAAGAGTAAGAGCAGGAAGAAGAAGAGTAACAGTGGGACAAGAAGAAGAGGGAGAGTGAGAGTGAGAGCGCAACAGTAAGAGGGATAATCGATAAACATCAGATCAAAACAATCAACACAACATAATCAACATAATCAACATAATCATAATCAAAGAATCATAATCAATCAATAACGATAACATCCCCATCGCCCCAATCCCCTCCTTCCCCTCCTTCCCCATTCCCCCTACTCTCCCCATTCCCACCATTACCACTCTCCCCATTACCACTCTCCCCATTCCCACCATCCCCCCCATCCAACAAATCATCATCAAGCACCTCCTCCGCGCTCTCCATCAACACCAACCCGTCCTCTTCTAGTTTCTTTTTCTTACTCGGGCTTTTACTCGGGTTTTTATTCGGGTTTTTACTCGGGCCGCGTGCGAGTGGGTGGGCGTGTGCGAGTGAATGTTTCGATGGAGAGCCATTGGTTGATTGTGAAGTCTTCCGTCTCTTCGCCGCGGGTGGACGCGCGTCGTCTCCAACACCGTTGTTTTTGTCGTCGTCGTTGTCGAGGATTACGATATCCCCATCCCCATCCCCATCCCCATCCTCGTCTCCTAAACTCCTCTTCAGAGACGCTCGTTCCACCAGCGGCGGTGCAACCCCACTCCCCCTACTCCCATTTTTCTCCTTCCCCTCTTCTTTCCTCTCATTCACCTTCACCTTCACCGTCCTACTAACCAACCTCGGAAGCGGATCCGGCAACATCAACCACTTCTCCTCCTCCCCATTTTCATCGACAGGGTGGTAATTCGGAGGCAACCCCCCGATTCCGATGGAGAGTGTTTTCCATTCCCATTGCCATTTTTCATTCTCACGCTCATTACCAGCCCCTTTCCCATCCCTATCCCCACCGTGGTGATCCTCTTCGTCACGGTGCACCTCGTCACCCTCACCGTGATTAGTTCCCTCCCCACCCTCACCCTCATCCTCTTCCTCATCATCCCCCTCATAAACGACATTAACAAACATCCCACAACGCACATTCAAGCTCCCGAGTGTGCGGTCGAGGTTGTCGTCCCAGTCGGGGTCGGCGAGGATGCGGGTGGCGGAGGGGGCGGAGGGGGAGGAGGCGAAGATGGTGAAGTGTGAGATGGTGGGGGTGGGGAATGAATAATTGGGTGTGGAGGTTGAGGTTGAGGTTGAGGTTGAGGTGGTTGGTGTCCCCCCCAAAACACCCTGCACGACATCGCGAAGGGTGGCACGGAGGGGATCGCAGCGGACGACGGTGTAGACGTCTCTGCATATGCCGCAGGCGGGGTTGGGTCTGGAGGTGGTGATAGCGGAGAGGGGGACGGAGGGTTTTAGTTGGATGTGGATGTTGCGGAGGGCGGTGTACGACGACGAGTTGGTCGTTGTCGAGGTGAACGAAGGAGAGGTGGAAGGGAAATGGGAAGAACCCGCAGAAGCGCTTCCAAGCTTAGCAGCAACCAAATGAACCCCCTGCAACACAATCAACCCCGCAATAATCGCATTCGTCGTCGCGATCGCAGGGATAATATTCCCCGCCATCTCCTTCACCTCCCACTTACTCTTCTGCGGTATCCCGTACGCGAGGGACCGCAGGTTGGAGGTAGCAGTGACAAAGTCGAGGGTGTCGGGGTCGTCTTTGTCGAATTCTATTACTGTTTCTTTTGTTGAGGAGGAGGGGGAAAGACGAGCAGAAAGAGCAGATACACTAGAAATGAATAATTCTAGATTTTCTTTCGTTGTTAGTTTTTTCTGGTCTTTTAGTGCTACGCTCTCCTTCTCTCCTACCTCTGTCTCTTGCATTATGCGATCAAAATCCAAGGGAACAGGTTTGGCACGGTGATTCCACATATCGGACATTGAGAGCAGGCGTTTGATGTCGGTGTTGAATATTTTATCGAATATCATGCGTGCGGCGGGAACGGCATCGGCATCGGGGGTTTTGGTGCTACTGCGAATTGCGGCACGTACTTGAGCAAAGGATTCGGCTTCTTTTCGGAGGTTGGCGATTTCTTCGGCTGGAGGATATATGAGTTTTATTTAAGAGAGTAGAGGTGCAACTCACCATTTTCACCTTGTTTCTCAGCTTCGTCCAATTCTGTACCAGCATCTTCGTCTACTCCAAACAACTGCCTATACACACAACATCAGATTTCAAACAGAATTAAAAACGCATACAGCCACGCACCCCATCAAATAACTCTTACTCCACACCACACAATGTATCGGCAAACTCGGCGTCGACCTAATCGTGCACACCGGGTACGTCTTTCCCCCCTTCACCTTCTCCACACACTCAAAACACTCCGTCACCCCCCCCACAATCGGCTGTACCTGCCCCAAATACCCCGCCGTCCCGCTCTCCACCATCCCCACCCCCCCCGCTACACACATCCGCCCCACATACTTCCGTGCTTCCAAATTATCTAGCGCGTTCAACACGAGGTCGAACCCCCTGAACCACTCGAGGTGGTATTTGTCTGAATCCGTGATGTTGTCTTGGATGGGGGTTATGTGCACTAGGGGGTTGAAGGTGGAGGCAACGGAGGCGGCGATGAGGGATTTGGGCTTTTTCAGGTGCGTGGTGCGGAACAGGAATTGGCGGTTCAGGTTGGAGAGGTCGATTGTGTCTAGGTCGAGAAGGGTTATGTTGATGAATCCACTTAGGACTAGGGTTTTTACTGCGAGCTATTAGCGCTGTCTTTTTTCTGCTAGTTTTTCTCTTACTCACTCAGTTCACAACCAATCCCTCCGGCACCCACAACCAGCACCTTGGTTTCTCCCAGTTTCTTGTGCAGCTCATCCCCCAGAATCGCTTTCGCGTGTTTCGTTCGTCCAGGCACTGTCGTCGTCGTCGACATAGTTGGATATGTAGCACGTGACGCTCTTTTTTATTTCCCATGACCATCATCTACATAAACTCTGGATTACCAGGACCCCGGATAATTGAGCATATAGTCGTTCGGGAATTCGGACAAATTTTGAGAAATTTTTCAAAAATTCTGTTCGATTTTCGGACATTTCAAGGCCTCTAACGGCGGTAGGTTGTTCACAGGGGTTTGGACATTTTTTCCAGCTTGGGGAGTTACTATGGTTCACAGGGTACTTCCGATTTCTTGAATATTGCGAATAACGTCTTAAATTTTTGAGTAAATAAAAATCTGAGTCGACAGTCTTATTTAGAATCATGTTAAACTTGTCTTTTGTCTTACATGTTAAAGCAGATAAGGCATAAACAGAGCGTCGGACCATGACCGAGGAAAAACAGGGTACTTCCGCATTTTGGGTCACACTGAGTCACATCAATGCCGCTGCTCGGCACTCTGGCACACTTGGCCATTTGATGCTGGGTTGAGGCAGAACTTGTGTTGATCATGCTTTTGGAGAGTGTCAGAGGTTTGCCGAGGCTACGGCATGAACCTGGAATCAAATATTGTCACGTCGCATACCCTCTTCACTTTATCTGCTTGTTGAATCTCTACAACATATTGGATTGCTTTTAAATTTGCTATGCTAGCTGATGAGAACCTCTACTTAATGCCCATGTCATTTCTACAGTTATCTACCAGCTCTTCGTATGGTTCCTGAGGCTTCAATCTAAAGTCACACTTGTATATTACAGTATTTTGGTCTTGTACATATGCATCCCCTGAATACAATCTATTTCATATAGTACAGCATGTTTATAGAAAACCTAGAAAGTACTACATAAAAAGTCTGAGAGTATTTATTGACCTAAAATGTTCAAAATATGAGATTTTCGAAAATGCGGAAGTACCCTGTTTACAGAAGTACCCTGTGAACCATAGTATGTCTTCAGGTCACCAGGTGGGAGTCCATGGGACTTTTGGAAATTTTTTTGAAGCCTCCCCGAAGATCATTTAGGCGAGCGCTAATTTGCTTAAGTGCCGGTGGCTGGTCGACTTTCAGACATTTTTTGACAGAAACTCTTGATTTTGGTTCGGACATTTCAGCCGAAATTCGGCAATTTTGGGAACGACCTTTACTGTGATTATCCGGGGTCCTGGATTACCCCATTACTATATAGCCTTACTAGCCACGCTCACCGCAGGTCGCTTTTTACCACTGCCAGGAAAAAACATACCAATACTTCGTGGCAATGGTATATATGTATATTCTTTCTCTCTCTCTATGCTTTTCCCAATGTCAGTGTTCAACGTTCAACGTCAACCTCTGTTTCAGAAGATGAAGAATAACTTATGCTCACCTTCAAAATAGGGTACCCAACAAGTGTCGCTAAGATATTTGTGCAATACTTAGTTATATTCATTGAGAAACACAGCGGAAGTTGGAACACGAGTTTCTTATTTGCCAAAATCGGGTAGCAGAACTTCGGAGTAGGTGATAGAGCGGCTCACACTCCCACTCCCAACTCCCACTTCAACAACCCTCCCTCCGTCAACGTTCAACACTTCCCAACCATCGACCAACCAAGTCCACGCTAGTGCCAAAACCAATCCAATCCGAAGACGAAGACGAAGACGAATTCTCCTGTCTCCGGTACCGGTGCCGCAAATGTTTTTGAACGCGGTTCTTGGGGTGTTGGGGGGGGGTTGGGATCCAGAGTCTTACCTAGTCTTACGCACATTTTTGTTCTGGCTTTTGTATTTTTATTTTTATTGGATGACAATATACTTACATACATACATATATGTTTCTCTGACCCAAGTATTCATCCGGTAGAATGGCCTGTTCTGTGACTCAATCATAGTCAATCATCCGGTAGAATGGACTTTCAACTTTGTAAGTGGTTGTTCATAATACATCTGTTGTAAGTAGGACTGAAACAGTCAACCTTCCATGTCTAACACTCTGAAGAGAACTCCCGGCACCTTGCTAGCTCTTACCAGCAATCACAGCACAATTGCAGACAATTCCTGTGAAAAACCTTCAAACCTTGACTTAAAAATTCAACCTCTCGTGTAATCCAAATTCCAATCATTCAATACTTTTCTTTCTAATGCATTTCCGTTTTCAGATCGAGTTTAGCTCTCTACTCTACAACACAGGCCCCCCCAGCCCCCCACCCCGGCATCTGCACATCCGTACATCCGTACATCCGTACATCCGCGGGTATTCCAACTCCGTGGGAGTGTTTGCGCTACAACACTTTGTGTTTGTTTGTTTCCCGGTTCAGCCCTCTATGATACACTGCAGGGATTAGCCGATTTTCTGGCGACCGAAAGGTTGATTTTATAGTGAGGTTTGGTACAAAACTATTCAGCTTATTGGACGCCGAAAATTCTGAATATTTTCTCCTAAACCCAGTCCATGTTATGGGCCCGATATAGTACAGTTTATATGAAAAACATACCATTAACATCCATAATCTTATTTTTAGAAAATGCAAGCTGATTTTTCATTCTTTTCGGGGACCGTTTATTCTCAATCACTCCAGTGAAAGCTTTTGAATAATATATGGCAAAAATTCTGAGCTTAATTTGGATAGTCACCTAATAACCTACCCCAAAAAATTCAGAATTTATACACACAAATGGCCTCACGCAAAGCATGCGCTTTTTCAAAATAAGCTCGCCCAGCTTATGGTGACCCGATGTCGGGACGTCGAGACAACATCACTATATCAGGACGTCCGGATGTCGTTGGCGTCGGGATGTCGGGACAGGTGACATAGTTGATGTCGGGATGCGTAACTTGTGTAGGATCTCATGGAGCAAGGTTTTATTTATGATTTTTATTTCTACATTATATATACAGGAGCAGCAAGGAACTTGATGATTTGAGGGCTTGAATCAATAATCTTCAGAGATCTCCAATGGTTCTTGATGATTGATGTCACGAAGCGGCAGAGGCGGAGTGACTAGCGGAGTGACTAAGCAAGGCAGTGAGGCGGAGCGACTAAGCAGGTCAGCAAGGCGGAGCGACTAAGCGGAGCGGAGGCAAACTGGTCCCAGATAATGACAGAGATATATTGAGTATCGTAGTCATAGGTAATAGTAAGTAAACACATACCTGGTCCCAGATAATGACAGAGAGGTCAAGATAAGGGACCAGGCTGTGAAGGGTTGGCTATATATACATAATCCGGTCTGCGAGAAACAACGATGTAATACTGTACAGTTCAGGGGCAAGGAAGGTGGCGGAAGCCGGTAGAAAGAGAAGATGGGTCAGGTGGATCAGTAATCGATGGGGGTTTGACAGTGATGGGATGATGTATTGTACAGGTAAAGGCGTCAAGACGGTGAAAAAAGGAAAATGATAGGGGCTGCGTACTTTATGACATTACTCGTATGCAGTACATCAGCAGTAGTCTACCCTTCCCTCTGTTCGGACTGAGCTCGCTATTGTTCATGTACTGTAACCGGCTGTTCCGATGCGGGACCCCGTCTCTAGGGACGGAGCCGAGTATCAATCTATCTATCTATCATAGAATTACATATGTAGGGATATTTTATTTTTTAATGCTACATAGGGGATGTGTCAAGTCCATGCCACAGGCCTCCATTCCGCCGCTGACACGCCTAAATTTTGGCTAGACGTCTATGCTGTGAATTGTGACATTTTCACGTATAGATTTGTATCAAGAGGACTGTAATTGAGACCCAGATTGACAGTCAAAGTCGATACTGAATCAGTCTAATAAGTTGAAGGGACCATATACCCATACTACCACAAGTTGGTCAGTTTACCCATCCCCGATACTACCTACGGATAGCAGTCTACCTGTTTGTCAAGCAGGATTATACCAGACTCGGACTACATCCGAAGGATGACCATTCACGTATGACATACCAAGGGTATTCTTATTGGACCTTACACTGGCAGGAGTTTGGAAGAACTTACTCAAGTGACCATGAACCGAGGATTGACTCGAAATGACTTTCTAGAACTCAGGAATTATCAAATACTCCTTCTAGAACAAGATCAGGCATTAATCTAAAAGACTGCGATTTAGTCTAATAGACCAATCAAGTTGCATGGTTAAGGAAAATGACTAGAAGAACGATCGAAGTACTGCGAGGCTCCGAAGACATATCAAATGGATGTCAAAGAGACCTGACGTAGGAAACATTGAAGAATGCAATTAAATGAATACTATGCGTAACTCCCTTGATAGAGTATAGGCACAATGGGTGTCTGTTGAAAGAGAGAAGCAATTAGTTTAATCCAGATGAATCAGATTGATAGGATTAGAATCGAGGAGAGCTGATTTGCCTCCGGACGAGATGACAAACGATCGAAGTAAGTGTTGAACCGCAATGACAGTTGAACACCATTCGAGTCATTCTCTAAAAACAATTAAATTAAATGAATATTGGAGTACCTACCTATGTTTGGAGGTATACTAGAATCTTGGAACCAATATGGACCAAATAAGGACATGTAGATTCAAATTAAATGGTATCTGACTGAGTGTAGAAGTTTCCTTGCGGTTCCGAACGTTTATTGTATTAAATTGATTGTACTATGCGCCTCTATATTCTGTATGTATAAATAGCGATCCGATGTATCTGGAATGAAAAAAGTGATTTTGGGACGACGTTGCAGTGCTAATCCGTAAAAAGGAAAGACACACTCCCGCCAGACTGAAACCTCTTCGCTAGCAGCCATTCGGGCCCGGCACTTGTGAGTATAGGAACGTTGTGTTCTGCTCCTTGTGACTGCGAGAAGTATATCCAGTTGTTGGGTATTCTTCGAACTTAGGATCAGTCGTTGGTCTTAAGGGCAAATCACGCTGTGTGGTTGTGCCAGCACATAGTTCTAGCCCTCCGTAGGGGTCTGTGTGTTTCGGTTTTAATTTACTTTGATTCAAACCCCCAATTCTTGATATACCCAAATCAATACAAACCAAAGCACAAATCGTGCTGAATCTACCTTG